CCACGGAACCACCACCACGAGACCACCACCGCGGACCACCGACCACCGCCACCCGGCCACCACCATGGGACCACCACCACGGGACCACCACGACGGCCACCGGGGACCACCACCACCACCACCACCACGGACACCGCCACCACCACGACAGACCACCACTACCAAAGGAGCACCACCACCACGGGACCACCACCACGCTGTGGGACCACCACGACGAACACCACGGGACCACGGACCACCACCACGGGACCACCACCACGGGCATTCGGGAAAACCCCCCAAAACCCCAGCCTCTCAGCCCCAACCCCTCAGCACCCCAAAACCACCCACCCCCCACCACACCCGACAGAACCCAAACCATTGCAGCAAAAGCAAAAAACAAAACCCCTCCAAAACACGACAAAACTCCGGACACAAACCCTATACAATTTCTATTAAACCCCAAAACCCTACACCGTAAAGCGTAAAACCCTGAACCCGGGGCATCCCGAAAATTCCCGGAATTTAAATTCCTAGGATTTTTCGAGAGCTGTTGCTGATATGTGATCGTGAGGCCGAACCCCCTTGAACAGCTGGCGGGCGGCGACCGTCATCGGAACTACCCTGGACCAAGAGATTTCCTTGAAGATTTCCTTGAAGGTGAAGGGGCACCCACGTCATCACTGTTACGCTGGAACCTTACATCCAACCCGGCAAGCCCAAACCTCAATCCGGACAATTCCTAAAATTCCGGGAATTTTCAGCTCCGGGTGATTCCCAAAATTCCCAGGATTTTGAAACAAAAAGTGTTAAAGTTCCCGGAATTTTCAGGATCCCCCTGCAAGGCCCTCACAAGCAGCCAAATGGACCGGAAGAGGAGGCGGGGCATCCGACGGGGCGGCCGCAGAGCGAAAATAGGGGTCGAACCCGTAGCCTTTTATGGGGATATTATGGGGATATATGCTGAATCCTTCATCCGAAAATAGACGCTAGATTGGCGCTAGCATCGCTCTAGCAAATATGAAGGGAAATTGTTTGCGATGGCCGTTGCCCATCCAAAATAATAAAATAGTACTAACACAGCTGATCTGAAATATGGCCAACCTGGAAGAGCAAGGGGCACTACTCGCTCGAGCTCAAGTAGCTCCAATAGTTCCGATGACGATGCCTGAGTCTTAAAATGGCGGCGCTAGTATATTTTACGGAACCGCTATGCTACACTAATCTCCAAAGCATTTCTTTTGCGAGGTTGCACTGTACCTCTGTCATTTATTAATGGTGGTTGTATTCGTTGTGGGCCGCAACCAACCCGATATCAATCGATCTCTATTAATCAAATTGTATCCCTATATCCTTTCCTTGTACGAAAATTCGGATGTATCAAGCCCTGATTTTTTCCTCCGAAAACAATGGCAAGCTCTCCCTCTGCAGGTAACCGCAAGGTCTATTCCAGCACAACAGGCGCCATCTCATCGTTGAATGCAGCTTCCTTGCCAACACCAAAGAGCCTAGGATGGCCCTCAAACCATTAAAGTGTAAGGTTTAGGGAAATCTGATCCTCTTCAACCCAATAAGGGAAAATGCAAAATATCCCAAGAGCCTACTTGGAAGCAGATCTCGGTAGAGGAATGGGCCGAAAGCTTCGGTCGCCAATTTCTCGAAGAAGTACTTCACTGACTCGCAGCAGTGGCTGAACGGAGGCGATCTAGACGCTGGCTCATGGCCAACGGCTTGAAGAAGTCCTTGGTAGTCCAACAAACATCTTATAACAAGGGCAACCTTTCTTGGCATGGTTACTTCATAAGGGAACCTTGAACCAAAAAAACAGGAACAGGATACCCTAAACCCTAAACCCTATCAAGCCTATCAAGCCTATCAAGCCTATCAAGCCTATCAAGCCTATCAAGCCTATCAAGCCTATCAAGCCTCTATAAAGCCTATAAAGCCTATAAAGCCTATAAAGCCTATAAAGCCTATAAAGCCTATAAAGCCTATAAAGCCTATAAAGCCTATAAAGCCTAAAGCCTAAAGCCTAAACCCGAACCCCTGGGACACCAAGAGTCCTCTCCCAACTCCGCCTGCAGAAGCCCCACCGCCTCACCAAAAGGCTGCGGACTTGCCTGGATGGTGGCTTGCACGCTCCTAAGATGGCCTTAAAAACCCTCTGAACACTGTTTCTGAATATTGGGGTTTAGGGTTTAGGGTTTAGGGTTTAGGGCCTAGGGTTTAGGGGATCCTCTTAAACCCAACAAAGGGGAATATGAAATGTCCCAAGGGCGTACCGAGGCTCTTTGCAGCACCGGCCCATTTGCGTTGCAGCTGCGCAGCAGAAGCCACGGCCTGCGTGATGGGGGCCTCGGGAATCCTTGGTCGCCCAGTAACCATATTGCAATAAGGGCACCCTTGGGTTTAGGGTTTAAAGAAATTGTGTAGGGTTTGAGTCCCAATAATAACGTTTTGACCGAAAGTTTTGACCGATTTTTTTTTGGGAGGGAGGGAGGGGGTGGGAGGGGGGCGGGGAGTGAGGGGGGAAGAGGGAGGGGCTTCCCAAACCTTTTGAAGGCCTCCCGGAGACTTTTTTGGGCCTCCCGGTGCCTTGACCTTTTGGAGCTTTTTTGGAGGCCTTTTGCCTTTTGGGGCCTCGCCTCCTGGGCTCCGGGGCTTTTTGGGGTTTAAGTAAATTGAGCATTTGGTCTCCCAGACGCTTTGGAATAATTTACTTAAGCTCTGTTGGTCAGCTGTTTAGACAAATATTTTGGGGAAACCCAGAACCCCGTTGTCCAAAGTTCGTTTTTATGCAGAAACTAACTTACCCCGTAGACCAAAGTTTGCTTTCTATGCAGAAACTAACTTGCGTCTGCCCTATCTGCCAAAAAGTGTACACTTTCAGTTCTACAGGGGCCCCAAAAAAGTGTAAAGTGTGCTCACTCAGCTACTAAGAGACTTGATAAGGAAACCCAGAACCAAAAAAAAAAGGGTAAAGGGGACCACTGGGCTATCCAAGAATCTCTGCAGTCAAAGCCTCTATAAATGGCCAAAGCGCCGAGCTCCTCAGGGGGGCCACGCCAGGTTTCCGCTCAAGGCCATGTTTGTGCAACCAGTCCTGCATCGTTGTAGCCCCCAAGCCTTTGGGGTTTTCGGGTTTGGGGTTTAGGGCTTGGGGTTTAGGGTTTGGGGTTTAGGGTTTAGGGTTGAGGGTTTGGGCTTCAGGGTTTAGGGTTTAGGGGTTGGTTGGGGTACGATGAAACATGGTCATTTTTGTTCCTTTTAGGGTTTAAGTATTCATAAACCCTGAACCCTGAACCCTGAACCCTGAACCCTAAACCCTAAACCCTAACCCCAAAACCCTAAACCCTGTAAAAATGATGTTGAACACTGACCCAGAGTCGGCGAAGCGCTTGCCGACCGACCAGGCATCCGGGAAGCTGCCAAGCCATGTCCTCGAGCGCCCGATGGCTTTGGCCACTGGCTGCCTCGGCCCAGGGTTTAGGGTTTAGGGTTTAGGGTTTAGGGTTTAGGGTTTAGGGTCCAGGAGGGAATATAAAGGGTACCCTTTTTGGTTTAAAGGGGATTCTAAGGGAACCCCAGCCCAAAAAAAAAGGAAATAAGGGCCTACTCCGTGTCCTAGCAGCTTTTCTCCATGCGAGACCGGCTGGGTCATCGCCTGCGCGAAGAGCGGGTTCTGCTCGGCCAGATGATCCAAACTCTCGGCCCAGAGGAGGCTCGAGCTTGTAAGGCTGTCGTAATTCCTAGTTCATGGTTGTGATGGTATGAAGAAACTTGAATTTCTATTCCTTATTGGGTTGAAGTACCCTTAAGAATGTAAAGTGTTCCCCAACTATGACGAAGACTCACCCCCGAGTTCGCTTCCCAGATACGTGTGGTGATTGCTAGCAGGCCTCCATTCTGGAGAGCCACGACGGCACTTACAAAACCCATGCCGTCCCCACACCAGCCGAATTCGGCCTGCAGCGCCAAGACGCACGTGATGTCGGCAGCCTCAATGCCTGCTATCTGCTGCCACGGTATCCACGACATCAGCATGTCCTTCTCCATTGGCAGATGATGCGTGTCATGCTCGTCACTGAGCATTCCGGGGGACTTTTCCCGGATCTCAGCCAATCCCTTCCTGCAGCAGCTGTCGATGTCATCCCAAATGTCCGGGCTTGACCCATCGAAAACATAACCCCCCAACTCGCGCATGAGGAACACCGGGCAACCGTTCCTTACTTCTCCAACAGCCAAGGGAAAAAAGTTAAACTGCATTCCTACTAAATAAGGAAACCCCAAAAACTTAAAGTTCAACCCCTAAACCCTAAACCCTAAACCCTAAACCCTAAACCCTAAACCCTAAACCCTAAACCCTAAACCCTAAACCCCGCAAGGTTCTTAGGCAAACCCCGCAGCGCCAGGGCCAATGCCTTCGGCTCCTTCGGAGCCGTGAGCTCCCAGACAGCGAGGGGCTGCCGGGTCAGGGTCACCTCAGCCTCGCCCAGGATGTCCTTTAGGGTTTAGGGTTTAGGGTTTAGGGTTTAGGGTTTAGTGTTTAGGGTTTAGGGGCCCCAGGATGTCCTCTCCCAGAGCCTCGGCATCCTCGAGAATCCGGCTCCCCAAAGCCAGGGTTTGCGTGGAGACCAGCTCCTAGGATGGCCCTTACAACCCTCGGAAAAATATTCCTGAACATGGGTTTAGGGTTTAGGGTTTAGGGTTTAGGGTTTAGGGTTTAGGGTAAAGGGTTCAGGTTTCAGGAATATGATCCTCTTGAACCCAATAAGGGGGAACAAAAATGCGCCAAGGGCCTATTGAGGCTCGCGCCAGCCTGTCTCCGCTTCAATGGCCTCCTTCAGCTGCCTCCCTGTCCAGGTGGGCTCACCTATACTCCCCTTAGGGTTTAGGGTTTAGGGTTTAGGGTTTAGGGTTTAGGGTTTAGGGTTTAGGGTTAATGGTTAGGGTTTAGGGTTTAAGGTTTGAGGACCAAACAAAAATACGATTTCTAATATCCTCTTGGGTCGTATATAAACAAAAATAAAGAAATAATTCCCACGGGGGATAGAGTCACAGGGAATGGAGCAGAGATGCCCGTCGAGGCTGTTCACGCGGAGGGTCACGGTCATGGCAGCTGGAGGCCGTAAAGTTTAGGGGGCTTATTGGGGTGATCCTAGAGAATAGTTGGCTACAGTGGACCACCGTCGAGGAACGAAGAGTGCACCATCGTGTATACTTGACAGTGTGTTGCCGTATGTTCTCAGAGACTTTAGGCTAGTCTCTACCACAAGCCTGTAGCAGACCAGTGCGTTCGGAAGCAAAATTGTCGCGTGTGGCAAGGCCGCGGGATGGCAAGGTTGCCCAGCTTGGCATGACGGGGTTTGACCAACTGGGCTTGCGACCTTTGGGGCGCGGCCGCAGTCGCAGAAGGCTGTCTACCTAGTGACTACTTAGGATGCTTAGTAACCCAATTCTTACTGTACTTATCACCCAAGTATAACCCGATTGGGGTACTTAAGGGGCTTAGAAGTGGGTTAGGACTGCACTTGTAACTGGTTCCCCTGAACCTCCAAGTAGAGTCCAACAGACGTGTCGCAACGAAGCAGTGTAGGTGATCTGCGATGCGGAACGAAGCACGATGAGGCAGCTGTGGCAAAGTCATGAAGCCTGCAAGCGGCATCCCGTAGCCGCTGTAGGCGAATTCACCTTTGCCCCTTGTCCATCTAGCACTGCTACTATCAAGCGCACCACGGAGAGTTCATGGAGCGCCTGCGAATCAGTGCACGTGGCGCTTCGACAAACCCTAAACCCTAAACCCTAAACCGTAAAGCCTAAAGCCTAAACCCTAAAGCCTAAAGCCCAAAGCCTAAAAGCCTAAAGCCTAAAGCCTAAACCTACGTGCGATCAGGCTGACAACAAGCATGCCAGCCTCTGACAGCGAGCAGGTGTCGTAGTCACTAAATGGGGGGTTTACGGTAGGGGTACCTTCTTGGGGTTTCTTCTTATAAGGGGATCCTACTATTTGGGGGTCTATATTAGGGGGTCCCCATATGTTCGTACACCCCCAGAACTGAGCGAAAATTGTGAGATCCATGTCGTCCATGTTCATGTCCAGGTGCTTCGGCCTAACCCCTGTAGACACTGAATACCCAGAAGGTCGGACATGTTTTTCAATGCTGCCTGGCGTTCTCTGTTAGCCTGGGGATATTCTCACAAAGCATTTCAGGAGATACAATTTGTTCTGAGCATCATGCAATGTTTCAGTTTAAGGGTCAGGGTTTAGCGTCATCAACCCTGTTTGTTGTGAAGCATGGGGGGGGGGGTTGCTCTTATTCTGATATGCACTTACGTGCCGGAATTGCAAAGGCAGCTGTGCTCCTACACCTTGCCCTGACAGAACCCTAAACCCTAAACCCTAAACCCTGAAGCCCTTGAAGTATGCGAGTCTGCTGACCTCCCACACGAACTGCTAACAGCTATGGAACCTCTAGCGGCGGCTATCCGAGCGGTCACGACGCGGAGGTGGCAAAGGAGAGCGCTCTCCTCAGCAGAGGGTTTAGGCATTAGGGTTTAGGGTTTAGGGTTTAGGGAGAATGAGCTCGACCATAGAAATAAAAAGGGCGCCCTTCTCTGGTCTAAAGGGGCCTATAAGACCAAAAGAGGGAGTACGGGCCAAGTCTGGGTCCGAGTTGATAAGTAGCGCTGGAATGCTTGAATCACCGACGTCTTTTGTACAATAGAGCGTAAGGGCTGGTCCGGACGGTCACGTATGAGCCCCGAAACCCTAAACCCTAAACCCTAAACCCTAAACCCTAAACCCTAAACCCTAAACCCTAAACCCTACCCCGTAAGAGCTTACTTGTGCCACTTGGGTTACCTTATCGGATCGGACAGGCTGGCTATTAACTCTGCATTCCCGAAAAGTTCAGCTAAGCCCTAAACCCTCAAACCGCCAGCGAGCCCTGCTTAGGGTTCACGTTTTAGGTTCTAGGGTTTAAGGTTCAGGGTTTGGGGTTCAGGGTTTAGGGTTCACCCATGCCAGCTGTGCTCTGTATCTTGGTACTATCATTTTTGTTGCTACTATGGTTCTTTTAGCTGTTAATATTGCGATTTATTTCTGTTTACCATTACAAGTAGAACTATCGCACTTTACATTTTCCGAACTGTTGTCCTGATCTTGCAAACACAGCGCCATGCTGAGAATAGATTCTCCTACCTGCAGCGTGGAACAAATAACAAACCATTGCCGATGGCGTCTCCTAGCATGACTGCATCCACCCCCCTGCCCTCCCGTGGGCAGAAGGACATGTCAACCGGTATGCAGAACCTTAGCCGGCTTTGCCAGCGGCCACTGGAACTCCGACACTTTACTCTCCTGCCCAAACCCGAAATCATTTTTTCTTCCGGGCTCCTGCCATTCGCTGGGCCCTGGTTAAACCCTTGAACCTTAAACCCTGCACCTAAACCCTGTACCCACAACCCTGAACCCTAAACCTTGGACCCTGTACCCTGAACCCCAAAGCTGCAGACTTCTCTTCTTGGCTGTCCAGTTGCTCACTGGCGACCTCCGCCGGCTGTCTGAACGCCTTGTCGTAAAGGCTGCTGGAGGGTTCAGGGTCGGTTTCGGGTTTAGGGTCTTAGGGTTTAGGGGTTTAGGGGTTTAAGGGTTTAGGGGTTAGGTCCTTAGCAAGATGACGAAGGTAGGAGGTCAGGGACCTGAGGCTGAGCGGAGCTCTGCCCTCTTCTCACATGTGCCTATGGCTGCGGCTTAACTATACTCCCCTTAGAACCTTAATAAGAATCATGCTATTCATATCCTCTTAAGCTTTATATTATAAAAAAAAACTAATTCCCAAGGGGGATATAGGTAAGGAGTGTTGTGCACATGTCGCCTCGAGCCGTGCGTTCGCTCATATCGTAAACGCCTGTCGGAAGTTGAGGTTGAGATTGGGATGTTACCCCTTATAGTTCCCCTAAACCCTAAACCCTAAACCCTCAACCCTCAACCCTCAACCCTAAACCCTAAACCCTGCCCCTATTAAAATCACCATTGAGGACTGTTCGTATAAAGGGGAACATCCCAAGGTTGAGATGGATGAGGTCTCGGGTTTAGCGGATTGGTCCCCCCGGACACCCTGCACCCTAAACCCTAACCCTGAACCCTGAACCCTAAACCCTAAACCCTAAACCCTGAACCCTAAACCCTAAACCCCAAAACTTCCTCGGCTTTCATAGCTCCTGGTTAAGCTCTGCCAAAAACTTCCCTAAAACCCACCTCGACAAAGTCTTGCACACCTTTTGCTGTGCACTCTCGCGAAAATTATTGTCCATCTGCGTGAGATGATCTAAGGCGTAGAGTACTTCAGAAACTAAACCACCTTGACCGATTGGAGCCTAATCAGTGGGTTTCAGGATTTGAGGTTTAAGCTATCCCTAAACCCTAAACCCTAAACCCCAAGGTATTCAGAGTTGAAGGACAGAGAGGGGGGGGGCGGGGCAGCTACGACGAGCCGTGCGCCATTAGCCAGGCTGGGAGCTGCAAGCAGTTCCAAGCTCCATGGCTCAAGTACCTGAGCTAGGGTTTAGGGTTTAGGGTTTGGGGTTTAGGGTTTAGGGTTCAGGGTTCAGGGTTCAGGGTTTAGGGTTTAGGGTTTAGGGTGTAGGGTTTAGGGTTTAGGGTTAGGGTTTATAGGGTTTGCGGGGTTGGAGTTCAGGGTTTAGGGTTTAATGAGGTTTAATAGCGTGGAAAAGGGTTTATAGGGTTTATAGGGTTTGTCGGGTTTGTAGGGTTTAGGGTTAGGGTTTGGGGTTTAAAGGGTTTTTAGGGTTTTTAGGGCTCATAGGGTTTGTAGGGTTTGTAGGGCTTTGTAGGGTTTATGGGGTTTACAGGGTTTCTATGGTTTCTTGGGTTTATGTGTTGAAGGGTTTTAGGGTCTCTAGGGCGTTAGGGCGATAGGGTTTACAGGGTTTACAGGGCGTGTGGGCTTGTAGAACGTAGGACTTGTAGGGTTTACAGGGTTAAACGGGTCCGGGTTGTGGACTTCCAGGGTTTATAGGATTTATGGGGTTCATCGATGTTCATAGGAATTTGTGGCTTGGAATACCTGTAGGCTTGACTCTGGAAAGCCTTGGTACTGAGCTCCAGGTCCACCTCGATCCTCGGCCCCGCACACGGCGCACGCGTGCTTAAAGCCACAGTCCGCCGACAGAGTGCACCT